CCAAGAGGACAGGAGGCAGAGGGTGGGGGACAGACAGACACCCTAACACAGAGAGAGGGAGGGCTGACATGGCAGGAGGGTCCAAGAGGATGGAGAGAGGGTGGGGGACATAAAGACACCCCAACACACAGAGGGGGGCTGAAGGCTGCAGGCAGGAGCAGAGAGAGGTAAGAAGGGAGAGCTGTGAAGGAGGTGTGGAGAAGGGGCAGCAGGGAAGAGCTGCTTGGAGAAGGGGGGAGGTGGCAGGGACACCTTGGAGACCCTGTGGCTCAGGTTTCTAGACCACCTTAGGGAGGTGAATGTCACAATGAAGGAGACCACACTGATTATCTTGCTTTCTTACTGCATGAAATGGTCTCTGGTGGCGTACAGGTCAGGTGAGGTGCCTCCAACCTCAGTGCTCATGGTTCAAATCCACCTGACACTCGTTGGGAGTAAAGAGGGCAGCCTCCTCCCAGGCTCTGAAATCTCGCTGGAGGACGGAGCTGGCAGCCGCCTCCAACCCAGGGGCACACAACAACTGCAGCGTTAGAAAGAAGTTATGTTTCACTCTAGTGTAGTCTATTGAGGGAGCCCGGGAGCCCAACAGTCAAAGCATTCAGTTGATAATGCAAAGGTTGTCCGTTCAAAGCCACTCACTGCTCTGAAGGGAGACTGATGAGGGGGAAAATTACCCTTAGGGGCGGGTTCTCCTCTGCCCTGTAGGGTACTAATGAGTCAGTACCAAGAAGAGAGAACAGCGAGTTTGGGTAGGGTTGAGGATTTTAGTGAGTGTGCAAGAGTATTGGGGGGAAGCTTCAAGTGTTGTAGGGGTCCAGCAACACTGAGAGGACACATGCTGTCGGGCAACTGGGGCACCGGTGGGCTCACTGGACACTGCTGGACACAGACCTCTGTGAGCAACTGCATGTCTGAAGAGAAAAGAAGTGAGAGGTGAGGAGGGTTGGGAGGTGAGGAGGGTCAGGAGGTGAGGAGGGTGGAGAGGTGAGGAAGGTGGGAGGAGGGTGGAGAGGAGAGGAGGGTTGGGAGGTGAGGCAGGTGGAGAGGAGAGTCAGGTCAGGAAGTGAAGAGGGTAGGGAGGTGAGGAGGGACAGGAGGTGAGGAGGGTGGAGAGGTGAGGAGGGTTGGGAGGTGAGGCAGGTGGAGAGGAGAGTCAGGTCAGGAAGTGAAGAGGGTAGGAAGGTGAGGAGGGACAGGAGGTGAGGAGGGTGGAGAGGTGAGGAGGGACAGGAGGTGAAGAAGGTGGAGAGGTGAAGAGGGTCAGGAGGTGAGGAGGGTTGGAGGTGAGGAGGGACAGGAGGTGAGGAGAGTTGGGATGTGAGGAGGGTGGAGAGGTGAGGGAGGTGGGAGGAGGTTGGAGAGGTGAGGACAGTCAGGAGGTGAGGCAGGTGGAGAGGTGAGGAGGGTGGAGACATGAGGAGGGTCGAGAGGTGAAGAGCGTCAAGGATTCAGGATGGTTGGGGTGAGAGGTGGCTATATTGTCACTGAGTTCACTCTGACCCAGAGACTGCTGTGTGCAGAGACCTGGCCCTCCACGGGCTTCCCAGTGGTTCCCATCCCAGTGAGCTCTGGTGGCCTCCTGCTAAGGAGCTGCACTGCCAACCCAAAGGCATGTGGTTCGAATCCACCCTCCGCTCTGTGGTAAAAATGGGCAGTCTCCTCCTGTGTGACTTCCTGCTTCTGAAAACCACTCGAAGGTCAGCTATGCATCAGTTCAGTCTCGATGGTACATAACAACACAATCTTGCAAGAAGTGGTAATGAGAGCATACCAATTAAGTGCTTATCAGCTAACTGGAAGTAGGCAGTTTCAACTGCTGCAGGCTCTGAAGGGCACAGGCCTGTGTGAGACCACAGCCTGGGAAACCCTTTGGGGCAGGTCTGCTCTGTCAGGTGGAGACTGGAGTGAGTTCCGAAAGGCTAGCCTCACTGGGGGTTCAAAACTACCAGCAGCTCTGGAGAAAGATGATCAAGTCCCCCCAGCCTCGTGTGATTTACAGCCTCGGAGAACTAGAGTTGACTCTGTGGTCAGTCGACTCTGACTTGACGGGGATGAGTTGAGTTTCTGAGTGGATCTGAGTCAGAATCGGCTCCACCAAACACAACAGTGTTACAGAAGTGGATGGATGACCAGTTTTTCCTCCCGAATCCCTCCTGGGTGGATCTGAATAGCACTGAACAGTCCACCCTCCAGTTCCAGAACACTTAGGCTGTTTGCCTTCCCATTGCTGGTAGGCATTACCGAGTTAACTCGACTCTGAGTGACCTTACAAACAACAGATCAAAATCAAGCCCTTGTGAAACAATGAATGAATGTTGTTGCTACGTGTTGTCGAGTCACCTGCGACTCATTGCGACCCTGTGTACAACAGCCCTAAACCCTGCTCTATCCTGTGCCAATCACACTGTCTCTGACACACCTATACCCATAACCCCAGTCACTGAATCAATTCATCTCATCGAGGGTCTTCCTCTCCTGCACTGTCCCTTCACCCCCCCAAGCACGATGACCCTCTCCAAGGACTGGTCCCTCCTTGCAACATGTCCAAAGTGTGTCAGACGAAGCTTCAGAATCCTTGACTACAATGAATGGGGCAGGGGGGGGAGGAATTAAATGGAAAGAATATGCTGTAAAAAAAATATGTTGCATTAAAAAAAAATCTAGTCCTGTCCTGTGTCATCCTTACCATCTCCTTTGTGCCTGAATCCATGGTTTCTGTCACCATGTCTGTCCGTCTCATTAAGCGTCTCCTTCTTTTGCTGACTCTAACTTTCCAGCATGATGTCCTTTCCCAAGGATGAGCGCCCCCTGACAACATGCTGAAAGCATGTAAGATGAAATCCCACCACCTTTGCGTCTTTGGAGCGTCGTGGTTGGCGGACTTGTTTGCTCTTTTAGTAGTCCATGGGACAGACATTCAACGTCCTTTGCCAACCACCACAGTTCAAAGGCATCGGTTAAGGTGGAATCAATGGTCCACAAAAGAAAGGCACAATAGTCACGGAGACACTGAGCTTCTGTTACACTGGGTGCCATTGAGTCAAGGATGACCCACTGTCAACAGCAGATCTGAACGCCGTCCTAAGCTGTGCCGTCCTCACAATCTCTGACACACTTGAGCCCATTGTTGCAGTCACTGTGTCAGTCCACCTGGTTGAGGGTCATTCTGTCCATCACTGACCCTCCACCTTTCCAAGCATGGTGCCCCCTTTCCAAGGAAGAACCTCTCCTAGTATCGTGCCCAGAGAATGTGAGACAAAGCTTCCCTACCGTGTACACCCATGTTCATCGCGGCTTTGTTCACAATAGCAAAGAGCTGGAAACAACCCAAGTGCCCATAAACAAACGAATGGATAGAGAAGCTGTGGTATATTCACACAATGGAATACTACACTGCATTGAAAAAGAAGGAACTCATGCAATATTATTAAAAATGAGTGACCCTGGAGGACATTATGCTGAGTGAAATATCTCAGTCACGAAAGGACAAATACTGCATAGTGACACTGTTGTAAAACGGGACTGACATCGGGGTTGGGGGGAGACTGAGAAAGATAGGATAAATTATGTACACTGCATTGAAACAGATGAGGGAGAGAACTGTTTAAAAGGGATATGTGATTAGGTATTCTTGTCACGACAGGAGTCCGGAATGAAGGCTGCACAGTGAAGTGGACTTGCGGGGAGGGATTATATAGCATTGAAAGAATTTTTCTTTTACTTTTCAAAACGAAGGTTGCCTAGTGGAATGGACTTGGGGAGAGGGATTGTATAACAATGAAAGAGTTTTTCTTTTACTTTTCAAAGAGAAGAGTGAAGTGGAGGGCAGGTTGGGCAGGGAGAAAAGTGCAACAATGAATGAATGGAAATCCAAAGTCTCTGTAAACATTCATTAAAATTAATAATAATATTTAAAAAATAAAAATAAAAAATAGCTTCCCTAATAATACAGAAAGACACATGAAGCAAAGCACAGAGGGGGAGCAGGTGATGTGATTGGGCTGCATGGAGCAGAGCACGGGGACCCTGGAGGACTTAGGAGAGCTGCCCTGGAGGGCTTCTGAGGCCGAGCTCTTTATGGAACTGGAGCTCTGGTGCTTTCAAAGCCACCAGCAGCTCCGAGAGAGGAAGGCAGGTAGTCAGTCTCCTTCCGAGCTGTCAGGTACCAGGTAGTTTTTTAAGATTTTTTTAATCTTTGTGAAAGCAGGCTGCCACGACAGGGTCCTGCAGCGCGGCTGGTGAGTCCCAGCCACTGACCTTTTTCAGCCAAGTGCTTATTCACTGCACCACCAGGGTGCCTCACTCTGAGGCAATCGGAAGCCCAAGGCTAGCAAAGCCTGGCTGAGAGGTATTTAGGGGGTGGACCAGCTGGGGAGGGGGCGAATGAAAGGAAGAGAAAGTGATAGGGCCCCTCCATGAGCAGAGAGACTAGGGAGAGGGTGTGGATGGGGGTCACACAGGGGGACAGATGACACAGGAGACAGAGTGGAGGGAGAGGAAGAGAGGGGCTTAGGGGGTGAGTGGGGGGCTCTGGGGGAGAGGACATAGGAAGAAAATCGGGGTCCAGACAAGAAGGAGGAGGAGGGAGGAGGGAGGAAGGCTTGGTGGGCTCTGAAGGGGAGGGTGTAGGGAGCAGGCCAAGACCAAGATGCACAGAGCAGAGACAGGGTCACAAGAGGTGTTGGTGTGACTTGGGGGGGGGGGCTCTGCGGCAGAGAATCTCAGGAAGGGAGGCCAGGGTTCAGGGAGAAAGATTGGGGCGTGAAGGGCAGGGGGTGTCGCAGCAAGAGGACCAGGATAGAGAGCGTGGCTAGCGGGGAAGACAGATGGGGTGTGGGCGGGGTCAGAGGCCAGGACGCATTGGGAAGAAGGCGGGGTCAATTACCATCGAGGTCTGCGCGCCCGAGATCTGAGCCGGCGCCCGTGCGCCCTGGACCCCAGGAAGCAGGGCAGAGCCCTGTCCGCCCCCAGGAGCAGAGAGAGGCGCCCCTCGTCCCTACCTTCCAGGCAGCAGATCCTCCAGAGGCCCGAGTGCGTGAGCCCTCCCGGGTCCTTCTTCTCGGAGGAGCCCCCCGGGCCGCGGTGCTGGGGCCCGTCGTCGCCCGCCGTGAGGTTGGTGGTGTTGCAGATGAAAGCGCGCGTGTAGAGCCAGTAGTCGGTGCTGATGGCGATGGTCATGAGGCCGAAGGCCGCGAAGGCGCCCACGGTGGTCAGCAGCACCTGCACCCCCTTCTCACACCACAGCCCCCGCTCCTCGTTCCAGCGCTTCAGTGACTCCAGTTTGACCACGGGCAGCCGGGGGGCCGTGGGCCACCACCGGGGTAGCGGGGGCGGGGCCGTGCCGGCGGCTGGGGGGGGTCACAGCGCAGGCAGAAGTGGGGGGGCCTGGGGCCGGCGGGGCTGGGGAGGGGGCGGCGAGGAGGAGGCGACTGCGGCCGGGGAGGGGGTCAGAGGGCGGCCATGGTCTCCGGCTGGTGGGGAGCAGGGAGTGAGATGAAGGGGTTAGGCCAGACCCAGGAGGGGTTCGAGCTCCCCTCCCCAGCACCGCCCCCCTCACCCTGATTCCTTGGTCCAAAGAACTTCTGCTCTGGTTCCAGGCCCCCCCTTTCTCTAGATAACTGTCCCCCAACTTCTCTCCTCTGTTTACAAAGAGTCCCCCAGTCATCCTAGGAGAGGGAGTTCTGATGGCCTAGTGGTAAGGAGCTGCACTGCCAAACCGAAGGCAGGAGGTTCGAATCCACCAGCTGCTCCGCAGAAGGATGGGCAACTTCCTCCCATCCCCTAACCGCCCCTGCAAACCCCCCAGGAATCTCAGCTGGGGACCACTCAACAACACACAAGCACAACCATCCTCTGGTGGCCTCCCAGGATGCCTGCTCTTACAAGACAACGCTCTTCTTAGTCTACTCTGGACCACAACGCCCTCTCTCTCCTGGGAAACCCATCTCACTCCACCCGCCACCCAAAAAAACCCCAAAAGGTGACCCCATACCTCATCGTCTCTTTCCCCCAAGCATTCCCACCTCTTCACTCACTACACCATCCGCTCTAAGAAAAGCCAGGGTCCTGACTCTCCAGACTTTGTCTCAGAGTAGGAACCCACCCCCCCAACACAGTGTACCCCCAGCTTCTCCACTGGGGGACAGGACTTCCACGAGCTCCCACCCTACTGTCTGTGGGGTCAGTGAGGAAGGAGGTCGTGGCCACCCAAGGCTGGAACCCAGAATTCTTTTCCTCCTCTGCCTCCTTGAAGGTTTCGGGGTGAGGGGGCTCTTAGCTTTGGGGGACTTGGTGGGGAAGAAGTATGAGCAAGAGTAGTGTTGGGAGGTGCCCCTTCTCCCCAAGAGTAGGGAAGGAGGCCTGGGGGCGTGTTCCTACCTGTCTCCTACCGTTTCCTTTACGATTTCTCCACCGGTGTCTCCACTCCCACCCATTGCAATCAGCGACAGAGTGTGACTCACGCTGACCCTCACGCTGACCCCACCCCACCCCGCAGAGCCCCCAGACTGCAGGTCCTCCAGAGCTCACTGCCTCCCTGCTCTCCCACGGACAGCTGGTGGGTTCCAACTGCTAAAAGGTCAGCACCTTTTTAGCCGTTTACAGCCTCCAGGGGCCCACTGTGGGGTCCGCTGGGAGCTGGCTGAGGCCCCAGGTTGAGGGAGCTGAAGGTTTTTTTAAACTCTGTACAGGGGGGTCCTCTGACTTCCACTTGGGGAGAGAGGAAAACTCCCCCTCTCCTCAGCTGGAAAGCAAAGAGAGAACCCCCTTAGGAACCGACCCTCATTCTCTCAGAGCAACTGTCACCAGGGAAGAGGTTCAGAACATAACGGTTACACGTTCGCCTGCTAACGGAAAGGTTGGCAGTTCAAACCCATCTGGTGACTCAGAGAGAGAGAGAGGTGGCCATCTGCTCCTGCACAATGAGTCTGGGGAACATCATGTGCGGTTGGTACTGGCCGGGACGGACCCACAGAACGTAGCAATACAACACACTCGCTGACTTCCAGCTTGAGGGGACCCTGTCCCCCACCCTCTCAAGCCTCACTGCTGAAGTTTGGCATTACCCAGCGACTTTTAAAAACACTGGCTCCCACCCCAGCCTGCTTAGTGCAAATTGTTCACATGCTCGGCTGCTTATGAAAAGGCTGGAAGTTCAAATGCACCCAGAAGTACGTCGGAAGGAAGGCCTGACACTCCCCTTCTTTTAAAAAATCCCCCTGGAGCAGATTTCTCTACCATGAGTCCAGCTGATATCCTGCAGCGTATCAGACTCTGAATGGAGTGACTCAGAAACCCTCAAGTCTGGGTCCTGTCTGAGAAATGCTGATTTTATTGCTCCAGAGTGTGTGGCCTGAACAATAGAGGGTTCTTAAAAGCTCCCCCAAACCGGACCTGCGGCCCTGGAGTCGGATTCCGGCTCATTGAAAACCCGCAGGGCCGTCTAGAACTGGCTGTCCCTGCATTGGGTTCCCAAGGGACCTCGTTACAGAAGCTGCTTGTCTGGGCATGCTCCCTGGTGGGTTCGAACCGCTGACCTTTTGCCAAAGCAGCCCAGCACTTTTAACCCTCCTTGACATAAGGGCTCTTGCAAGCAGCTTCTGCCCAGGGAATCTGAACTCACAGACGTTCGAGCCTCTGGTTTACAGGAAGGACTCTGGTTCCGCCACATCCTCTGGGGGGCCCCCACTGTCCCCTCTCTCACTATCTAGCCCCCTTCCTCAATCATGTCTTCTGCTCAAGGGAAAAACTCTCATTCTTCTTCATGGTTTAAGGAACCTCCCAAATGGAACCCCACTCGCTGCTTCTGAAACTTGCACAAACTCGACAGCACTTTTCTTCTCTATGAGGAAAAGAAGTCCTTCGTGGCTGCGAGGCAACCCTTCTCCTTACGCACCTGCCCTGCAGACCCCCAACTCCTGTGCACGCAGAAATCTTCCCTTCTCTGACCTGAGCTCCCGCTTCTGTCCGAGAACATGCCTGCAGGCTCACCTCCCCACCACCATTACCTCTTTCACTGCCCTTCTGCCAGGCCCCAGCTGGCCCAGACCCTCTCCTTCACCCCGAACCCCAACCATCCCAGTCATGCCAGAGTAAAACCTCCCCAATGGTTCAAAAAAGCAGCACATCATGACAAGAACCTTCTCTGGTCGAGAGGCTGGTGGCTCGACCTCTAAGTTATCAGCTCCCCAGCAGCTCCTGTGTCCCCCGAGACCACAGCTCCTGTCTGTCTCCCCCCAGCTCCTCCGGATCGAAGGATCGTGGAGCCGACCCAGCCCTCTTCTTACATCAGAAAGAATTCCTTTACTCTTACCACTTCGTCCGCCCACCCAACTCTCAGCGTCTCTTCTCAGGAAAACCCCCTTAATGGCCCCCACGGACTTCCTTCCTCGGAACGCCCCCACTTGTGTCCCCAGGCCCCCCCCCCAACTATTTCATCTGTGCCGGAACGATCACTGTAACAACGGCTAACATCCTTCAAAAGTGGAAAAGGAAGGCGACGGATTGTGCCCCTCGCAGAAACGCTACAACTCTCTTCCCAACGAGGGATCATGCCTTACTCTGCTGTCCCCCCCTCCTCTCTGGTTCATTCATGTCCTCTTGGGGGGGAAGCCCATCACCACACCCCCAATCCCGTCTTCCCCCTTGCCCCAGTGGCCCCTCCATTCTCCTGTCCCACGGCTGACACCACTCTTTCTCACTCTTCTTCCCCCAAAGCCCCCCTGGAGTTAAGGGTTCAGAAACCATCAAGGCGGAGGAGGAAGGGAGAATTCTAGGTTCCAGCCCAGGGTGACCTTGGACTCTCCAGGTTCATCCCTGTCTCTGCACACCCCTCCAAATCAGTTGGCCCTGCGTGGGGCTGTCTTGGGGGGCTGTCTTTGAGGGTGTCTCCATGGCAACGGGGCCCAATTGCCCCACATGTTGCCTTCACTTCCCACCTCCCCACAGACCCCCTGGGCACCCCATGACTGAAGGGCTCAGGGCTCCTGGACACTCAGGACCCTGAGAAGCCCCCAGCCTGGCTCACCACTACCCCCCAGGACTCCTTCCTCTCTCCTGTCCAAAAGCTGAGTTTCTGTCTCTGTGTGTCTCCCACCCGCTTCTCCCACTCTGTGCACCCTCTTCACCGGCACCCTCACCTCCACTGTCCTAGCACATAGCTGTTCCCATCGGGGTGAGCATGGGACCCCCAGATGCACCCCCCTACCCTCCCTGGGCCCCTTACGCCCTAGGCTAGACTGGGGAAGGGGGAAATGAAGCGAGGGGAATTCGCCATCAATCAAATTGAGTATCTTTGCAGCTTGTTGAATTGGGGGGCTATCCGTTATCTCGAGGGGGACTCTCCAAGCCCGCCTGTCCGCAGTGGAGCAAGAGGGAACAGGGGACCCCCATTCTAAAGCATCCGGACGTGGAGAAGGGGGATGGCCTTCCCCTCTCCCTCTGAAAGGGACCAAGAGAGGCTCAGAAGCGTCCCCCCAGGTTAGGGGGGGCCACGGAACCCTACAGTCCTACATCCACCCACCTCCGATGAAGAAAAAGGTCTCTCTCACCTCTGTTAATGATAGGTCAAATCTCCGAAGCACTGGGAGGGGGAGGATGAGCCCCCCCGTCAGCACCCCCCCTAGAAACACCTTCCTGGCCCCCAGTATTCTCGCTGCGCCCCCTCCCCCAGCAGCAAGGGACCCAGGCGTCCGACCTGGTTGGGGGGGCGGTGATGAGGAGGCGGACGCGGAACGGGGGTGTCGAGGTGGAAGGGGGAGTTGGGGGGTGGCTCTGAGCCCTGGTCCCAAGGGAGTGGGGGGGTCGGGATAAGGGGGGGGAAAGGTGAGGAGACAATTTGGTTCTTGTGTCGCTGGGTAAAGTGCGGCTCCGGAGGACGAGGGAGGGAGGAGGGAGGGAGGGGGAGGGGAGACGCTGAGGAATGGGGGAGCCACGGAGAGGCGCTGGGCGAGGGGGAAGGGATAGGATGGGGGGGCAGGGTCTGAGTGGCAGGAGGAAGCGGAGGGAAAAGAGAGGGATCGAGAGAGGGAGGGGGAGGTTCGGAGCAAGAGAAAGACCCAAGACTAGGAAGAAGAAATGGGGGGTAGAAATTTGGGAGAGGCAGTGACTGAGAGCCCAGTGAAGTTGGACACACAGACACACACACACACACACACACACACAGAGAAAGAAATACACAGAGGGCAGAGACTCAGAGAGAGGGAGTCTAAGAGACTGGGGGGATGGGGGGAGAGGAGAGGGTGGGGGTGTTCAGGATCTGGTTAACAGAAGGAAAAAAGAGGGGGAGAGTCAGTCAGAGAAGGGGGAGGAGAGACAGATGGGGAGAGACAGACAGACAGAGAGGATGGGG